AATGTGTGCAGTTTTAAATTAGGCAGTCTTTCCATTTTGTAAACCGCGTCAATTGTTAGATCTTACTAAAACAGTCCTTTCCCTCTGTCAGTTTTTTGGCAAACCACCTTCTGTCTCTTTTCAACTTAGGAGTTGACCCATTAGTCAAAATCTGTTGTGCTTTCTGTATTGTTCATTCCTCAGTCAAACTCTGGGGCAAATAAAAAGAAAAACAAGATACTTTCTCCTCTGAATTAATAGTTCTATTTTCATGTAGCTACACTCCCTTTCTGGTTCTTAACAAAGTGAACGTTCTTCTCACGGCATTTTTATTTTTGACAGTTTAGTGATTATGAGATACGGTCATACCCACTACAGTGGATTTAGCTCTTTCTTCTTAATTGTTTATAAAACACAGTACAAAATGTAGATGTGGATATTGAGAGATAGCTAAAGTTATTTTGGGGACTCTGGAATTTACTAATTACATACTGAAAACGTTACTGTTTATTTTCTGTGCTCTTAACTATCATTGTTGTTTATAAATAGTCTACTTTGGGCTTAAGTTCAAAGCTTTAACATAGAGTCAGGCATTATTTTAGGGGCCCTGGGTGGCTCAGTCGGTGAAGCATCTGACCCTTGATCTCAGCTCAAGTCAGGATCTCAGGGTCGTGAGATCGAGCCCTGAATCGGGCTCCGCGCTTAGCTGGGAATCTGCTTGAGATGCTCTCTCTCCCTCTGCCTTGCCCTTCCCTGCTGCACTCTCCCTCTCCCTCTCTCAAATAAGTTTAAAAAGTAAAAAAAAAAAAAAAGGAAAGAAAGAAAAAGGAATTATTTCAACTGATTGGCTCCATGGGTGGAAACAATTTACTCAGTTCATTTTGAGAGGGAAAGCCCTGCTTTCTCCTTTCCTTCCAGTTCTGCCAGGAATACCATCAACCTGTCTTCCTGGTGGTTCAGTTGAGAAGTAGCCCGGGTATTAACAGACTTTTCTTCCAGTCCTGGCTTGTCACCACACACGGTGACATGTGAGGAGTTGCCTGACCTCTCTGGAGAGCTCTTGAGTTGCGCAGAAAGCAAGATGACTCATTCTGGGTCACCGACCTGTCTACGAGGCTTGGTGACTGGTGATGGCTTCTATCTATAAAGATTGAAAAAGCCTCTTCCCAGAGGGGAGCTGTTCTGCGTATTCTAAAAGGAGTTTTGTTTGCTCTGAAATAGGTGCTTTCCTTAGGAATCATTACATAGATACAGGGATGGCTCAGTGGGCCGTGAAGTGAGGGGCCGTTCTTTCCCCACCACTCATGGGTGAAATGTCCTTTCCTTGTGCCTGCGACGGCTATGTGCGAGCCTGGGGTCACGTGGTATTTTCTTCTGGGTGTGAGGCTCCATGTGGCTGTCCTCTAGTCTGCACTTGGGTGAAATTACTGTACTTCTGCTCGTGGTACTATACGTGGACCAGAGCAGTGCACGCTTTCTGGCCCAAGCCAGCCTCTTTTCTCCTGTTTGCCTTCAGCGCCTAATCTTCCACTTGTCTCTCTGGAACCTTTTATCCAAACCCACGTGCTCGTTCCTGTACTTTCCCTGCTACCTGCTTTACACGGTGCCTCTGTCCTCTGTGCTGGAGGGAGATCTCCCAGGAGGTGTGGATACACACCACATTTGGGGACGACGTCGTTAAAGGAGGGACCTGTTGGCCAAAGGACACGTTCAGGTGACCACCTACACATGTGTACCCAAGTCACCTTTGTACCTTGTCATTGAGCCCCATCAAAGAAATACAGAAATGCCAAGAAACCTGTGCCCTGTCTAGGCCTTAGGGGCTTGTCCATATGGTAAAACAACAGAGTTTCTGTGTGCTGCTGCTGAGACTAGGTAGAAGGGCGTGCCAACCAATTCCTGACCATTGGGTGGAGCTGCCAGTTTCCCGACCCTTTCTTGTTAATGTCAGCAGTGATGGCCTCTGGTCCCTCCACTACACCTCTTCCTCCTGGTTCGTGTCTCATAATGCTCTTTGTGTCTGACACTGTTTCCTTTTCCCCCATCTGTGAGGTTGTGATGTTTTTTAAAAAGATTTTCATTATTTATTAGAGAGAGAGAGAGAGAGAGAGAGAGAGCAAACAAGCTGGGGGAGGGGAGAAGGAAAGAAACTCAAGCAGACTCCCCAGTGAGCACAGAGCCCGACGGGGGCTCTGTCTCACGACCCTAACTAAGATCAGAGCCTGAATGGAAATCAAGAGTCAGACACTGAACCAGCCGAGCCAGCCAGGCACCCTGACGTTCTGACATTTTTATACACTTTTTTCCACCACACCTCGTTGATTGATCTCATCTGTTCCTTCAGGCCCAGCCATGGTCTCTGAGCGAGTGACTCGAGAGCCTTGCTCTCTCTCCTGACTCCCCGGTCCCTTTCCTGACCTCCAGTTTCATCTTCCGTCCTATTGCTGTACATTTTTACATGGATATCCTGTGGTTCTTCAAAAGCAGCACATTTTCCTAAGACCGGCCAGCTCTGTCACTTTTCCCTGGACGGACTTCTTTCTGTTAATGTCACACTCCTTCTCCAGGTCACCAGGGTTCGGCACTTTACCTTTCCTCCTTTTTGGTGGTTATTTCGTTTTGTCTGTCTCCTGCTCGCAGTTACCAAGTCCTAATAAGTGACCCGATCAGAATATCCCTTATGTCTATTTGAGTCCCCTTTTACTACCTGTAGTCCGAGGGGGTTAACGGTAAAGCCTTTCCAGTTGTTTCTCCAGTGTCCACTGCTTCTAGGCTGACCTTCCAGGGATAGGGCACATCCTTGCCTTGGGCTGGCAGTGACTCTCCTGCCAACCAGACAACATGCAAACTACCCAGCTCGAGACTCTGCCGTCTGGCAGCCACCCCTCTTCCTACCCCCTTCCTCTGGACCTGGCATAATGGTAGCCCTAAAAATCTAGTGGTGAACCACGCAGTCTGCTCCTGCCCGAAGGAGTATCTGGGGAGGGCCTCCCTAAGAAGTCATATTTGAGGGGCACCTGGGTGGCTCAGTCGGTTAAGCGTCTGATTCTTCATTTCAGCTCAGGTCCTGATCTCAGGGGTGTGAGATCAAGCCCCACTTCGGGCTTGGTGCTGAGCGTGGAGCATGCTTGGGTTTCTCCCTCTCCCTCTACCTCTCCCTGTCCGCACCCTTGTCTCCCTCCCCTACGCCCATCCCCCCACCCCCACTCCTGTGCTCACTCTCTCTCTCAAAAGAAAAAAAGAAGTCCTATTTGAGATAAGATCTGAAAGCTATGGAAGGGGACAAGAATCCACAGACAAGAAAGCCTGGCCTGCTTATAGAGCAGAAGGCCCTCCCAATAGAGAACAGTGCATAGACTAGAGAGAGGTACAAGATGCATCCACGCGGCAGAAGAAAGAGTTTGCCTTTTAGTCCAGGTGTAGTGTCAAGGACTTTTGAAGCAGAGTGATATGATTGGCTTATATTTTTAAAATATCACTTGGTGAATGCGTGGGTGGTTCGGTCTGCTAAGTGTCTGCCTTTGGCTCAGGTCATGGTCCCAGGGTCCTGGGATCGAGCCCTGCATCAGGCTCCCTACTCAGCAGGGAGTCTGCTTCTCCCTCTGCCTCTGCCTGCTGCTCCCCCTGCTTGTGCTGTCTCTCTCTCTGACAAATAGATAAACGAAATCTAAAAAATAAAATACTATTTGGGAGAGAGGGGCAAGGTGGAAGCAAGGAGACCACTTAGAGGACAAGCTCTTGCCGTTGTCCAGACAAGATAATAGCTTGGACTAGATGACATGTTTCTCAGCCTCAGCCCTATTGACATTTTGAGCCAGAGAATTCTTTGTTGTGGGGGTCTGTCCTTTGTGCCAGAGGATGTCAGAGTCATCCCCGGCCAGTGTCTGCCCACCTCCAGTGTGACAACCAAGTATGTCTCCAGACATTACCGAAGATCCCCAGGGGCAGAACCACCCCAGACTGTGAGTCAGTGGGCCTGATGGTGGCAGTAGAGGTGGGTTTGAAACCAACAGTACTCACAGTTGACGGGAGGTCGAGCAGGGCAAGAGTTGAGGGACTCAGTAGTGCTTCCTACGTGTTTGGTCTGAAATCCTGGCCGATGGCGTCAGATTACTTTAGACTCCTGACACTGGTCTCTCTTGCCCCGGTGCCTGTTCTTGGAACTGTCCAACCACCCTTGATGTCCTACCATCCTACCATTCTCCTCCTTTTCTTACCTCCCTCCTGCAGGTCCAGCTTCAGTGCCATCTTCTTGAAGTCTTCTCCAGTCAGCCCACCACTGGTGATCTTTTCCCAGTGAATTTCTACAGCCCTGTATCGTACCACCCCTAGACACTTTCTGGGTCCATCAGCTTCTGTCAACGCCCCCGGGAAAGAAGGACCAGGCCCTCAGGGAGGGAGCAGTGTTGATGGATGCCTGAATTACATGGCTTTGCTTTTGTCTCTCTGTTCTCACTGGTGGCTGTAGGATTATTATCTCCCTCTGTTCATCATCTAACCGTAATCTGGACCCCAGAACCACCTCTTTTATAGGTGAGCCTCTGCTCAGATGGTCTGGAATTGTCACAGAATTGGGACACTTACTATATGCTGCCCTGTATTAGAATTACTGATGTATGACTGTCATTTCCCCGTCAAACAAAGTGCCTGAGAGCAGGAAGGAGCCGTTACATACCTTTGTCCCATAAACCGCCTGATGCCCAGCACAGTACTGATGACGAATTCGGTATTCAGTAAATGTTTGTTGAATGAATAAGTGAATGATTGGATCTGGAACATTTTTTTTTTTACTCTTGAGTATAATGGCACTAAAGGAAAATTAGCACTTTTCTATCATGAACACATATAATTTTGATAATCAGAAAAAAAATTTTTAATTGTTTATAATGATAGAGGATTAGCCTGTAGTCTGTGTCACTGCCAAAATGGATTGGCTTGTAAGGAAGAGGGCTTGGTTTTTGGCATTTATGGTCTGGAGCGGGCTTTGGTGATGAGATGTCTGCTCTGTTTCTGTCTTGCAGCTCTGGTCGTCAGTACCACTTCAGCCGGATTTGCGCTGGCCCCAGGACCTTTTGACTGGTCCTGCTTCCTGCTTACTTCTCTGGGCACAGGCCTTGCGTCTTGTGCTGCCAACTCCATCAATCAGGTCAGTGGGTCACTTTTCAGCTCGATCATGATATCATTGCTTTTTCCTAGATGGTAATATTATCACATTTTTTTTAAAAAGACTTCTCCAAACCACATATGCAAATGGAGAGGTTCCAGGAACTTGGGACACTGCATCTCCTGGAGAGGTCTCTGGGGGACAGAGCTGATCTGTCTCATCTCTTAAAGTGAATGTTTTTGGGGGAGAGAGCAGTGGTGTATTTGCTTTAACTGACAGGAGTCCCTGGGTTAGAAGCATTTCAGAGCCACCTGACTTTCTGTTCTCATCCGTTTCCGGCACATTCCCCTGAGCTTATCATTTTCTGTGTTCTTCTTTCTTTGGTTTGATTTGTTAGCACTTGTTTACATACACAAAAGTGTACTTTTTTTTTTAAGATTGATTTATTTCTTTCGGGGCAGGGGCGGGCAGAGGGAGAGAGAGAATCCCAAGCAGACTTCCCGCTGAGCGTGGAGCCCGATACAGAGTTTGATCGAACGACTCTGAGATCATGACCTGAGTCGGAACCAAGAGCCAGATGCTCAGTCGACTGTGCCACACAGGTGCCCCAACAATGTATTTTAAACAAGGATATCCAGCTTTTTAAAAAATCAGTAATTCAATATTCAGTAAAAGTGGTGTATAGAATCACAGAATATATTAAAAAATTAATGAGCATATTATTTTTAATGCATCCTTTTGTCCCCCTTTTATTTTACACATCAAAATAATTTTCTATCAATTAGTTCTTCCCTACCCCCCACTAAGCCTGGTCACTGTGCTGTGTTCCCCCACGTATCCTTTGTCATCGGATACCAGAGTGAAGAAGTCTTGGCTAAAACTTAGGGAAAGTCTTTTCCATCACCAGAACACCCAGGAGGAGTTGGCCCAGTTTTAAAACAGGAATTCAGCTTACGAGCAGGAAAACAGCGTGGCCGAGCGGATGATATCATTTGGTATTCTGTAAAATGTGAGAATTTTAATTTGATGATTCCTCGGATCATTCTGCTTTCACAGTGTGTTATCAGCCGTTTGGGGAGGGATCCATCTATTTCAAATAAGGTTTATTTTTTTTGTTACCGTGTTTGTTACTATTTTTAATGTCCAGACAGTCTTACAGGGCGATACAACCCATCCTGCCACACTCCAAACCTACCGTCCCAGCTCGTAAACCACGGTGTGGTTCTTCCAAGCTGTTCTTCCTTCTGCTCCCCTCCCTTGTTGCTTGGCCAAGAGAAGAATCCTGGCTTCACAGTGAACATGTTTTTAATGAAATTTTGAATAGAAAGCAATACAAGCAAAGTGGATTTGTGTTGCTATTTCGGGTCTATTTTTCAAAACATTTTTAAAATTACTACTTTTATTTAGTTATAAATTTAGGTCATAAGAGTAAGCCAGAAACACATTTTAGCTTTCAGGCCCCTTTTTTCTATTGAAGAGCTGTACTTATCCTTGAGATATTAACTGCTGTCTCCTGCTTAAATTAAATAGATTTAAATACAAATTTAAAGTAAAATTACAGACATTTAGAAAAATAGCAGCAACTAACTCATAAGCACCAAATGGCTCAGAAATCCCCAAACAGTACAAAAAATAATAGAGTTGCCTTGAGTTTGAGCTGCCCTCCCCCTTCCATCCCCCACCCTTTAAAAAAAAGGTAGTTCAAGATTTTATCATGGAATAAAAGTCTGTCACTAGCAAGAAAATATCTACAGAGAAAAACACAGAATGAATTACATTTAGGCAGAAATTTCCAGAAACTGAACATAAGCTAAGGTGTTAGAAATTTTAAAAGTTTAGGGGCGCCTGGGCGGCTCAGTGGGTTAAGCCTCTGCCTTCAACTCGGTTCATGGTCTCAGGTTCCTGGGATCAAGGCCCACATCAGGCTCTCTGCTCAGCGGGGAGCCTGCTTCCGCCCCTCTCTCTGCCTGCTTCTCTGCCTACTTGGGATCTCCGTCTGTCAAATAAATAAATAAAATCTTTTTTAAAAATAAAGTTTAAATGCGTTTGGCTGCTTTGTTTTATCATCAGTAGGAAGTGTATTTGCTGACTTAGGGTGACCTAGGGTGTGTCTGTCTCAAACTGCTGAGAAGAACCAGACTATGGGATGGGATTCTTTCTGGAACCGACACATCACATTGTCTGCCTCTTCTGTTAGCATTTCCTTCTTAGGCTGGCTCCCTAGCCCCGTCCTGCGCTCACGCAGCTCTCCTGTTCTTTCTTCCTCTGGAACACTTCCACGTCCTCCACCACAGTCACTTGTCCTCCCCAGGCGTCTTCAGTCACATGGGCCCTTAACTTCTTCATCTTCTCGGGTACCTCACATCGCCTCCTTCCACTCGCCCTGGGCTCCAGGTCCCTTTGGAAACATCACAATACTAAAACATCTTAATGATCACCGTCATTGTTGAATCCCACTGTTATTATGCTATCAGTAACCTTCCCAAATTACAGTATTTTCTCAATTTTGTTGGAAGGATTTTAGTTCTAGTATTATGAAGCAGTTACATAAAATTAAAGGAAGGCAAGAACATTTTCATTAGGGCCTTTAATTAGTGTAAGCAAAACAAAGAGCACCGGACAGCAAACCTTTAACTGAGTTTTGAATAGCAGTTAGATAAAGAAATAGTCGTTGGTGAAGGCAAGAGCTTCCCATTTTTTTAGGGAGCCGACATCCAACTTAAAAAATGCCTATATGTGGTTGGTATCGATAAAAGTTTTTCAGCTTCTGAGTTCTATGGGAAAAAAATTTTCTTTCTGTCTGCATTTATAAAAGGATTTGAATAACATTTCTTTTTTTTTTTTTTAAATACTTCTTTTAGCTCTTCTTAGCTCTGAGTGCTGCTTCTTTGGACCCTACTTCTGTGATCTCTCTGTGAAAGTAGGAAAAATAAAGCTCTGGGAAACAATTCCTATGTTTGTTTTAGGGGGAGAAAATGAGCTTCAGCTTCTGATTTATGAAATAATGACTAGTGTAGTGTATAAATATATATATGTGTGTGTGTGTGTGTATGTGTGTGTGTGTATATATATATATATATATATATGCATGTACATGGAAACCACTAACATTAAAATGTAAGAAGGAATTACATTCATGTTTTGTAATATATACGCATGCCTCATTTGAAACCATAGCAAGGCCTGAAAGCAGGTGTGCCTTCAAAGGATGAAAGCCATCCATAAAATTTAGCAACTGAAAGATAAAATGTGATAGATGGTTTGGACTGATCAAATCTAAGAAACAAGCGACTCACAGTGAAAAGCTGAGTAAATTCAAGTGGAATGAATTTAAAAAATTGAAAAAGATAAGACTTGTCAGAAAATTTTCAGCGTAATTGAGTATTGGACATAGTAGATATTGTTATAATAAACTGTATTTGTGATTATTTTACTTACGTTACATGGAGATGATTTTTCTGTTTTAGAGGTTAGGAGTGGATGTCAATAAATACATTTCTTCAGGGTCCATTCCATTGGTGACCTGCTCTTCCTCCTGATGGACGCGCCCCCACTTTCTCAATCTGTTGTCACAGCTTTGGGCTTCCGAAGCCTCCGCACTCACCTCTGAGTATTTTCAGAGTACGAGGTAGTAGAAGAGACATGGATGAGGTGAGGGCTGGCACCCAAAACATATATGGGACTGATTTCACTTGGAATGGAGGGTCTTAACAAAGTAACAAATTGTTGACATTCGTACAGTGTTTTAGAGCTTAGGAAGCATATTTACAGAAATTATTTAAACCTTACTACCCTGTGAGGCAGGTGGCATTACTGACATTTCTATTTGCAAAACATTCTGTTTTGCCTTTGAATTATTGTTCTTTTTTTAAATTTATTTGTTTATATTTATTTGTTAATAACAAGTATTAACAAATTAATATAAACAAATAAATTATTAACACACAGAGGGAGAGGGAGAAGCAGACTCCCCGCTGAGCTGGAGGCCCAACGCAGGGCTCGATCCCAGGACCCTGACTCATTATTGAAGCCAAAGGCAGCCGCGTAACCCATTAAGACACCCAGGTGCCCCTGAATTATTCTTTTTAAAAGCAACATTTAAAGAAATGTGTTATGCAAATAATGTTTCCATTGCAGGTTAGTGAGAAAATATAAATAAGCAAAAATAGCAATAACATTCTTTATTTCCCTTTATTTCCCTTGTACCAGGCACTGCTCTGCATTTCAGAGTTACAGCAGAGGACAAGCGCATACATCTGGCTTTGTGGTGCTTATATCCCCCGCCTAGATAGACTCACTTGTTAACATTTTCATTTATATTATTGTAGGCTTTTTTTTTTTTAACACAAACAATCTCTACATATATATTAATTTCTCACAGAAATGATTTATGTGTATAATACATATAGCTTCTATATGTCTTCTCCTTTAAATAATGTATCATAAACATTTTCCAATGTCAATATTCGCTGTAACATGATCGTATATAGGTATATAGTGATTTGTTTAATCAGTCTCTCCTTATTTGACGTTTTAGGGATTTCTACATTTTTGCCACATAAATAATGCTGAGCCAAAATTCTCATAGCTCAATATTTGAATGTGTCCTTAACTAAAGTCTTGTGTTAAAAGATATGTTGCTTTTAAAATAAACAGGTAAGGGGCACGTGGATGGCTCAGTCAGTTAAGCGTTCGATTCTCGATTGGCGGCTCAGGTCGTGATCTCAGGGTCGTGAGATTGAGCCCCACGTTGGGCTCTGCACTCAGCATTGGGAGTCTGCTTGAGAGTCTCACTTACCCTCCCTCTGTCCCCACTCTCTCTCTCTCTCTCTCTCTGAAGAGATCTTTTTAAAAAAAAAATGTTAAAAAGTTAAAATCGGACAAGATATGTATTGCAAGTGCGGAGAAATTCCTTCCCGGAAGGTCTTCTCTTTGTGCATGTGCTTGGTTTTAAATCACTGTATGCTTCCAGATGGCATGTGTGGAGGGCTTACCGCTGACCCTGCAAGTTAGGAGGTCTGGGCCAGGTTTGTAGGGAACCT